CCCCCCCCAGAGCCCCCCCCCAAAACTACACACACACACACACACACACACACACACACACACACACACACACACACACACACACACACACACACACACACACACACACACACACACCCCTGTTGAACAAGGAAAGACGATTGCACGCAGAAGAGCGATGATTCCACAGCAGGCTTCTCCTCGTTGCACCTTGCGTTGGTGCCGTCCACACACAGGTGCCTGCTTTGGCAACACTGGACTGGTCAACCCTTCATGGAAGGCTCTAAGGGAAAAGCAGGGTCCGTGGTGTTGGGTTGCATTTCACACCTGGTAGTGATTTATGACCTTTTTCTCTCAGAGCCCTGCATGCATATTTAGTCTCTGTATTCTGACTCATATGCCTGAAGACGTGGACCATGTTCCACAAAAGTTTGCACCAAAGTAGAAAGTGAGTTTTTAAGACACGACAACATCTGTCTCCCTGCGTTTGCTTTTACTATATTTTGTTTCTTTTGAAAATGCTTGCACAGACTAACCCAGGTACAACAACAAAAACTGCAGTTTCAAGGTAGCACATTGCTAATATCTATTTATCTGTCGGTCGGTCGGTCAGTCGGTTGGTCGGTCCAACCAACCAACCGATAGATAGATAGATAGATAGATAGATAGATAGATAGATAGATAGATAGATAGATAGATAGATAGATAGATAGATAGACAGACAGACAGACAGACAGACAGACAGATAGATCAATAAATTGAGACAGGTGTGCAGGTTGACGGTGAAGTAAAGGGTGCTGGACCCCCCAAAGTCTTGGAATGGGTGACTGGCCGAGTTCGTTTCTAGGGCGGCAGCTGTTTTAGTCTCTTTCAGCATCTGTATCAAAATTAAAAGCCAATGGGTTACGGCAGATTATTGTCAGTGCGAACGTCTGTGGATCAAAATCTGTTTCATCAGGTGTAGGGAGTGTCTTAGTGGGGCCAAAGCAGGAGGGCCGGGAAAGATGGGAGGGAAAGGATGAGCTGATGAGCTTTCAGGTGGAGAGCGATCCAGGAACAATGGGAAAGGATGAATGATGGGGGAAAAAGAGATGAATAAGCGATGGACCGATGCCTGCCTCTGAATCTGTTTAAAGGGCTGTCAGAGAGGTGTGAGTGTGTGTGTGGGGGGGGGATGGCTTTTGACAGAACACAGCATTCCAATTGTGTATGTATGTGTGTATGTGTGTTTCCAATTACAAAAAGGGAGATCTGACTGGAAATGGGAAGGAATTTCTGGATGAGATGACAATTGTCTTAGAAACTAATGGATTCTCCTTCACGGAGGGCTTTTACGCAGAGGCTGGATTCAAGGGGCCCGGCTGGATGACCTTTGAGTTTCCCTCTTGCATCTCCCATGGGGAGCAGGGTTTCGGGCTTGAGACTTGCTCACATTTTTGGCATATAGCAGAAAACTATAACAATGCCTCTGCACATTCTGAAGCTTTGGAAAGGGGGTGTGCTTGGAGCAGGGGGTGCTGACGGGGTGGGGGTGTCCCGAGGCTGGGCCAGGAAGGGCTGTCAGAAGCGAGGGAAGCTTGCCTTTTGGGAAGTGGAAGGGATTCCGTTTGTGCTTCGACAGTTCCGAATTCGGAGCTCCCCAGGTTTCCACAAACTAGCGAGGGATCAGCCACCACGTGCCGTGAGAATTCGCCCCCCCAACAGTGCCACTGGCACTTGTGTTTCCACTTGTGTGATTTTAAAACCCAACTAAGGCATCCTGGGAGGCCAAAACTGAACTGGCCATCGAGGGCAGAAGAGCAGGAAACAAACATCTTCGTCCCAGAGGCATCTCCTCCTCCGCCACTGAGTTCCCAGAACTTTCCCAGAGACGGTTGGGACCTGAATGTTCAGCTGATCCGATCTGTAGGCGGCTCTGTAGCCGCTGAGATTTCCATTTGGCCCCAAAGCCAGGACGCTCTGACAAGAGAGCATGAGACCATCACGAGGCGGGCGATACAATTTCCCAGGCTGGCTGGCGGGACCCCGCTTTTATGGGATGCTCCGTCGCAAGAGGGAAGCTGAGCCATCTGAGCGAGATTGTCCAGGCAGCCCTTGTTTTCTCCGGCTGCCACTCCAGAGGCATCTTTCCCCAAACACTTCCCACTCATCATGCGCCTTTGCCTTCTGGTGCAGGACGCTGCATGGCTGGGAAGCCGTCCCCCTTGGCCTGCCAAGGGATCAGGGTGGTCCCTTCGAGCGCAGCAGCAGTGCGTGGGTGGCGGGGACCGAGCTAAGCCAACATCTTTCACCACGTCAGGGAATGAGAGAGAGAGAGAGGACCTGAAGGGACAGGCGGAGGAGTGGAGAGCGTGGCCTCAGGCCAGGGACAGAAAGGGTGGGGGGGCACCATGGGATTTCCTTTTACTGTTAGGCACCATCGAAAGCCCCCCCCCCCACACACACACACACACACCCTTGACCAAACAGGAGCCCACGGAGATTTCCTACAGCCAGATGGGTTTCATCTTTCCCGAAATGGAGGGTTGCGGGTGAGTGAAAGGATGTGGAGATACCGCAGAGAATCCAAAGCTCTCATCTTTTGCTGGAGCCTCCAGGAGGCTTATTTTTTCCCCAGGGTTTGAGAAAGCTTCCTTTCTGGCTTGCCATCTCCCAAAATCTCCCAAGCCACGCTACCTGGGGGATGCTAGGGTTGGTCATTTTTTTAAAAAGTAACTTTTTTTCCAGGTTTGAGACCATGGAAATGTAAGCGTTCCTTCTGCTGACAGCATCGACCCCTCTTTGTGGGCTTGGTTTCATCACTGTGGCCTCCGTGGCCGCTGATCTCTGGCCCCATGGTGTGGTTTTGCTACGGGCGATGCAAGGGTAGTTTCACTCAGCTATCTGGCCTGCAGTCGCCTTGCATTATCCACCCGTAGTGTAAAAGGGAGGCGCTGAGCCTTGCCGGGTGGGGCCCAGATCCTCCCGGGTGCCTTGCTGCCCATGCAGGGCAGCAGGGGCTCCTCTGTGGGCCGTCCGTCGGGATGAAAGCAAGACTATGGCTCTCCGCGTTCTGCTCAGTGCTGGGAGAGAAACATGCCTCTGCACATTCTGAAGCTTTGAAAAAGCAGAGGCGCTCTTGCAGGGATGAAAGGTGGCAACCTTCCTCTTGAACCCATTACCTGAGAATATAGAAGGGCCAGCTCCAAGGTCTGTCTGCATGCACGTGTGCACACACACACGCACTCACACACACGGACGCACACACGGATGCACACACATCTTGGAAGACCCCACCCACTCCCTTTTAAAAGGCTTATTATTATTTACATACACATGTAGCCATGGTTATGCTTTAAAAAAAACCACCCTAAAATGCTTCCATTTTCCATTTCACTTATTGCGTTTGTTTCTCTCTTTTTTCCTGTTCCCCGAATGTATGTAAAATCAAAACAAATGAACGAACATTTCAAAAAGGCTTTTTAATAGACCTGAAAAAGCCCTCTTGTGCTCTCTCATGGCCATTTAAAAATATTTACAATAATTGAGCTCGGGGAGAGGGGTGGGATCCTTGAAAGTGTTGTGGAGGACTCAAAACATGAGGGCCCCCCCACAACACTTTCTCAAAACATGAGAAAATCCCCCCCACACACATCCCACGGACAGGAGGAGACTCTCCCTTGATGCACAGAGCTTGGGCAGAATTGGTTGTAAGACAAGCAAATTTCCACTGTCCACGTGATTTTAAAAGCTATCCGCCAGCATCCGATGGCCGATTTAGACTTACAAAAGGGAACTCTTGCTGTCAAATGGCTGCTTAGCGTTGAGGTACCGGTTACATTCTTGGGATGTGTTTGCACAAGCACCTCATGCACAAGTAGTTGTTGGCCACCGAGACCTAGACGTCCTTGTGGAGGCATAAACTTGCAATAGGATTCTGGCCCCTCACTCAGGGGTAGTCCTCTTGGCTGCCATAGTTTTATTATTTGTTTACTTTGATATCTGTTGATGAACCTTGCAAACAGAATTTCACAAAATGAGTCTCTTCTTATTCACAGTTGCATGACGGACAACATGAGCAATTATAACAAGAGCCGGGTTGGGTATTCATAAGCTAGAAGAATCAGCCTCACGTGCAGAGTCTTCTCTCTCTCTCTCTCACATAAAGGAATTATACCTAGACCAAGTTTTGCAAGGGTCTCAGCAGTCCAAATGGCAACAGCAGCTCTGGCCACTTCAGCTCTCCAGCTCTTTCTGATTCAAATCTGTTACTCACAGCCCTGCTCTTTTCTTAATTCCACTCCTTTGGGACAAACCAATATTTCATAGGGGTTACAATCTGCATGCTTTTTAAAACACATAAAAGGAAAGGTATTGCAGACACTCAAGTGGGGCTCATCAGGAGGTGGGTTTCACCCTGGATGATCCCAAGGCCAAAAGAAACAAGAAACTTTGAATCTCCTTTCTGAAAATATAAGGAGCTCCTGGGAGATCAAATACAGTTCTTCACAGAATCCCCTTTGTCAGCAGAGAGCAGACATATTTGCAAGGCTGGAGATGATGCTGGATCAGGTAAAGCCAGCCAGTGGAAAACATCTGGATGGCTTTACTTTGTGTGTGAGGAATGAACCCTCACAGATTTAATTGTAGTAATTGAAAGGTGGCTTGCTTCTCCCTTCTGCACATTCAGCTGCCTGTGCTTTTAGCTGTCTGGCCGTTACACGCAGAGATGCATGCCTGTAGCGTTGACGTCATGCTTGGGGCTCTACCTGCAGCCTGAGATCTTAAGAGCATCCCTCGTGGCCAGGAGGTGTGCTTTTCCTCCCCACTGCAGGTTAAAGGGAAAAGAGGCCACTGGGGTTCAGACCAAACCTCTCCAAACATCAGGAGGATTCAGGATAGATTTGGCCCCTTGTGGGGGGAGGAGGAGGAGGAACCTCTACCTTTCATTGGGGCACCCCCAAAATCTTTCCAAACCCCACCCAACATGGGAAGAAGGACTTGTCTAAGCCTGTGGCATGCTCCTTGGTGGACGGTTCGACCTTCTCACGGAGCTTCTCTCCTCCTGAACAGGACCCACAATCTCTTGACGCCGCGGTGCAGAACACGCTCTCAGGGCTGTTCCCTCCATTCGACGCCACCGCCCCGACCGTCCTGAGCCAGCTGTTCCGCGTCCTGGAGGCCAGATACCATGGGGACGGGCTCTGTTGCCTCCTGGACTTCCTCATCCCTTCCAAGCGCCTCCTGGAGCACGTCCGGCAGGCAGCCTGCGTAAGTCTGTTGGGACCGACGGAGGGCCGTGGTGTTGGGCAGCGGCCGGCCAGCCCTCTGGGATTTTGCGCTGTGTGGCTTTGTCTTGCGAGGGGGCACGGATAAGGCAGGGAGGGTTGGACCCCCTCTTGAGCTTCTCTCATACGGTCTCACCAAGGTGAAGGAAAGCTGCAGGACAGAATAGGCTTCTTCTTTTTTCTCTTTGATCCTCCATCCCCCAAATGGTCCCTCTGTTTTCTTCCTTGGCATCTTGATTCTCCAAGAGAGATCTGTTTATGAAAAGTTTTCAACCAGGGGTGTGTGTTCTTCATCAAAGCATGGCGGAAGTCTCTCTCTCTCTCTCTCTCTCTCTCTCTCTCTCTGTGTGTGTGTAATAATTTTCCAGCTATAGACATAGTGACAGAGACAAATTATATATATAGAAGGACCCAAGGCAGATTACATTGTTAAAAGGCAATACTGTATTTAAAGCTAACAACAGTGTGTGTGTGTGCGTGCATGCGTGCGTGCATGTACACGCACGCACACGCGCATGTGCAAACACACACACACACACACTGTTGTTAGCTTTAAATATTGCCTTTTAACAATGTAATCTGTTAAAAGGGTCCTTGGGTCTTTCTTAAGGGAAAAGGTGGGGTAAAAATATTTCCAACCAACCAACCAAACCAAGGATAGTTCTCCCTGGATTTATATATATAGGAACTGACTGAGGCCAATTCCAAATCAGTCTCCCTGGATTTATATATATAGGAACTGAATGAGGCCAATTCCAAATCAATCCAGGGAGAACTATCCTTGGTTTGTTTGTTTGTTTGGTTGGTTGGTTGGTAATATTTTTCACCCCACCTTTCTCCTTAAGAAGGACCCAAGGCAGATTACATTGTTAAAAGACAATATTTAAAGCTAAAAACAGTGAGTATACAAATACTAAAATCGGTCAAAACAAAACCATACTAAAAAACATGAGCAACAGCAAACCGCATTCAAAGCAATGCAGTGTAACCGCCCATTTAAAAATCCCATTCACGCAGCCGGTGGCTCAGGGAAAGCTTGCCAGCTTGCAGAAGCGCAGCAAAGATGGGGCCAGTCTGGCCTCCTTTGGGAGGGAGTTCCTTGTGATCTTAAGATTCACGGAAGCTCATAAAGGCAGATATGGTCCTTGAGATAGCTTGGGCTCCAGCTGTTTAGGGCTTCATAGGTTTAGGACAAGCACCTTCTCTTCAGAAGGTTGTCCTCATGGAAGGAGAAGCATTTCTCATCAGTTTTGGGAAGGTAGTGAATGAAAGATGGAGAACGGTTTTGTCTGTATACTGTATTTTTCTTCTTTTGCTCCCCCCAGGCTCCTTACATCAGCTGTGTTTTCCTCCACGAGGGCTGGCCGCTCTGCCTCCACGAGAAAGTGGTGGTCCACCTTGGCCCACTGAACCCCCTCCTCCTGCGCCCGGGGGACTTCTACCTCCAAGCAGAGCCCTGTGGAGAACAATCGGCCTGCTTGGTCGTGAAATGTCTCTCCAAGGACCTGACCACCGTTGAGGAGATCCCTCTCCCCGAAGCCTCCTGCTCCTTCCTCTTCACCAAGGAGTGGCTGGAGGAAATCAACCAAGACCTGGACCGGCCTGCCCTGCGAACTTGCCTGGTGGCCACCGGAAATGGCATTGTCCCCATTCCATGGGGCAAAATAGCCACTCCGGAATTTGTCGACGTGCCCAAAATTGGGAGTTTGGAGCCGCCCGGATCCTCTTGCTGCCCTGAAGTGTACGGCAAGCTGAATTCACAGCAACCGAGCAAGACCGTGACAGGGTTTGGGAATGCTGGCAGCAGCCCTGATGGGAGTTGGAGGCCCCCTCAGGGGAAGTATCCTGGCCTCATCAAGGTAGAGCAAGGATCCTGGAGAAAATCCACCTTGTTTGTTGTGCCAAGTCTTTGTGATATTATCAGTGAGAATCTGGAAGGAGAGTATGTGAATCTCCTCGGATTTTCTGGAGAGAAGGACGCGGATTTTTCGGCCAAGTCAGAAGCGCCGTCAGCGGCTGAAGGACAGCATCAGGGAGAAGTGTCACCCTGGACCAAGAAAGGTCTCGTTTGTGTGAATGGAGAGGGCACAGTGACCCTAGAAAGCTGGGACTGCAGGAAAGCTCCAGACTCAGAGGAGGGTCCCTGCACACCGTGTCTGAGAAGGAAACTGAGCCCAGACCCCAAAGTCCACGAGCCGAGATGTCGGTATCGCGACTCGTATGTGGCTGCCCTCAAGAACCCTGTCAACTTCAGCTCAGGATTGATGGCGGCCATCTTGGAGGAGATTGATGTGGCCCAACAGGTCTCTCACTTGGCAACCCCAGACACGAAGCCTCCTGAGGGGTCACACCAGGCAGCTACCGGGGTCCCCCCTGAGCATCCAAAGAAGGACGGGAAAGCTGAGGAGCCTCCCAAACAAGGGCCCTCGGAGGTTCTCAAGCCTCCCGCAGACAACTGCCCCACTGCCAGTAACCGATTCTCTTGCCGGAAAGGCCATCGTCAACTGGCCTCCTCTGGGGGTGGCCCCTCGGGGCCAGAGAAAGCCGGCAAAGGGCAGGAAGGACCTCGGAAAAAGACCCTGACTGTTTGCTCTCCCCGAATGGGCCGGGGGAAAGCAGCTGTGGGGAAAGGTAATCCTGA